AACTCAAGTTGCAGAACACCATAGAGTTCAATCCATGTTATATAATTAGTATATTATCAAATTCTAATTTCGTAGTTTGCACACCATTTATACATTAGAGAAGAGGTTCGTCACTATTAGAGATACGATTAAGATGTAAATAGACGTCGGTTCCAAATCTAATTAATATAAAAGAAATCATGTATTGGGTTGGGGCGGGGGAGGGGGAGGGGGAGAAGGGGTTAGGGGTGGGGGAACGGAACAAACATAGAAAATCATGAATGAGAGTCGAATGGTAAGTAAGAGAGTAATTAGTAATTTATATCACAAGATTATATAAACAGCACATATTCTTTATCGAAACTTACCCTTCCATTGATATCAATTTTAGATCGCCTCCAAAATATTTAGCATACTAAGAGTAAACAGGAACAAATGTTAGCAGATATTGGTGATCCCTAATAGCCAAGTGTTGTTACTTACCAATCTGCTAATTGGTAAACCATATCCAAACCCAGCCATTGGCGCTTTAAATTCTTTTTGATTAAAGCTAGGGTCAAGATTCTGTCTCTTGGCTGTCGTATACATATACGTCCATACCAACGGTGTCTCGCTTCTTGGTATCCCACCACCTTCGTCAGATATCTTGATCGTGATGTCCTTTTGAATTAATTCGGTTAATCGTAAACAAATCGATACTTCATGATTACACGACACAAACTCGCTCTTTCATTCAACACCTTACCTCTTTACCTTCGGCAACGATCACTTTTATGTGCGGATAGTCCTCAGCATCATCGCCGAGTAATTCCACAACAGCTCTGAGACTGTTTTTCAGCAGTTCAAATAACATATGACTCAGATGGCTGGGTACGTACGTGAAATTTAAATCCCTAGGACAAAATAATTGAACTTCTGGGGTTCTAATTATTCCATAATAAGCTTCACAAATATACTTGGCATTTTCAGCTGCTTCTTTTACGGTTTCCTTAATATTTGTTGATGTACATATGATGCCAACATAATCATCTCTTGCAGATGAACGATTTAATGCAACATGTTGTCCTAAAAATCAGCTGGTGGTTTTAGTCAAGCTTTATTGGTCAAACAGGATTGTGGAGGGAAAACTTAACTACCGAAAGAATTAAATGATCACAATGCAGGCCATCAAGAAAAAATCGATTACTAACCGATCAGCATCCGGATGCCAATACGTGACATATAGAACCGATCAAGAAACTTTTGAGCATCAAGATCAATGATATCAGCGTTCTTATGCTTTTTGTGTTCGAGTATCCCTTGGGCTTAGTAGAAAAGAAATGTTTGAGTATGCATAGATAGCGGTACGATGATACATATCCAGCACATTGCCCTTACCCTATAAATAGTGTATCGTCAGTTATCCGGGAAGATAGAACTCGAGTAATTTAAATCATAAATCTACTTTACCATGGTAGTAACAACAGGATCATGTCGCCGTTTAATATTCTCAATTAGCTTTGTGAACTTTTCATTGTAAGTATATATTTCGGGGGGCCAATCGAATCCATCAAGGTTTGCGTAGTATCTGACAATGGACAAGAGTATAAGTAATGAATAAGAGAATAAAATACGATAACGTACCCATAGCACATGTACACACACCTCTCTACCCTTCCTCCTCTCCCGTATCACATTCTTTTTTTTTTTCATTCTCATACCTATGACCAAGCGGAATTAATGGACGCAGCGAGTCAGTGGCAGTCGGATTAACATGGAGATTGGGCACATTATCCGGTAATTTATTTTGCTCAGTGGCAGCAGCAGCCAGTCTCTCCTTGATCTTTACCGGGAGTTCAATCTTTGGAAAGTTGATGAGATCCTGTTTGAATTGGCGATAGGAAACGTGATGGTCTATACTCTGTAACAATGAATTTATAATAATTCATAAAACACAACGTAAGAATTACCTCAAAGGATTGGGCGTACCAGTTCTTGACTTTGATGATTGATGGCATTTTACTCAAGGAGTGTGGTAATTCTTCTAATTCTTTTACTCTATGTGCTAGGCGTATTGGAAGTTCGTCTACATAATGACAATCGATTCACACATTCATTCATTGTCCGGGAAAATAAACACCATAACAATTGAATATAACATTAGAACATGCTCACCTGCCAAGAATTGGCTTGCCCTGAACAGTGTTCCCTGAGAAGGATTCTGACCTATGTCAAGTTAGTATGCCATGCTATTCACGCTCACCACTACTCATACTGCGTGTGTACTAAACTTCTATTACGTTCATACTATATTCGTGCCTAATTTATAAGAAGTTTTACTTCTACAGTCATCCTACAGACCAATTCATGCTAAGATGCTCTGCATGACTTACCAAATTGAACCATTTGCCGTAAAGAGACACCAGTCTGAGGGAATTTGGAATAGTGCTTGATTTTTTCATAAACTTGTGGTGTGATCCTGTAAGTCATTTTTTAGTCTATTTGATTGGTTTCGTGGACGTTTATTCTATTTAACATCAAAAAAGAACTTCCGATTGCATAAATAACGGTAAGTAGGTAAAGAGTTTCTCGGGAATGCAAAAGAATAGAAGTTTTTGCTGTGTGACAGTTGAAAATACGATCAATCACATGGGTGGAATATTTGACGTCATCCCTAATTAGGTATTTAGTACTATCGCACGATGATATTGCAGCTAAGAGAAATTCTCATCTCGTGTTCAGATGATACTCATTCCCAGCGCCATTTTTAAGCTCACAGTTATCCTTTTTAGACTCTTGGTTTTCAATAAGCAAGTTATATTCTTCCATAAGGAGAAACCATTTCATACAAATCGAACGACGTTGACCAATTACAGGAGAGCTTATAGTAATACTACAGTCCGTAAAAAGTCAAAAAATGTAGCCTGAATGCATCGCTGGAATTAAACAGTTTAGACAACAACAGTCGTACTATATCGACATATAAACGGCGACACTTGACGCGCGCATATGGTATTATAACTAGACATACTGTATCATAAAATGTAAAACCCATCGCAGACAGTTTTAATCTGTCATTTTTATTTATCTTAAACATTTGACGGAGAATTAAGACCTCACACTGTTTCACTGTAAAGTATTGAGTTCACAAACAGATATAAACAACACAACGCATTTATTTAATAAGTTTAATAATAAGCTCACTTGCCGTATTGATTTTTACCAAACTAATTATAGATATTTTCAAGAATATGGTTTATATTCTTTCTATTTCACTATTTTTGGCGTTAACTTTTCTAAACCCCTACCTAGCTCGTAATTCTGGAACATTTTATTCCTTTCTGGGTATAGGCCCGCTTCAGACAAACTCCAATTACCCAAAAAACAATGTGACAAAACTAGGTTGTGGAGAACGGTTATTACTCGGTTAAACATGAGATAAGCATCGTACAGATTGACCAAACTATTAGGGAATCGGCGACAATTCCTATAAAATTAATAAATTTTAGTTTACTTTATTAGATTATACTGTTACTAAAATAAAATGGCGGCTGTACTTATTTAGTATTAGTGGCTGTTTAAATACGCACGATGCTAGATTGGTCTTTATATACGCTCCTAGAATATGATATCTCGAGTACTATGTCGATTATGATTTGCTGAACTTAATTTGTGAAACTGCTGATACATGAAACACTTTCGCGGAATATAAAGACTAATTAAGAAATATAATAAATTATGTTTGAAAGTACAGCTGGCTTACCAAAATCGGGGTCCTATTCATGTGATGGTACAATGAATGTAAAGTGCAACTATGGCGTGAGCCAAGACACCACTAAAGGTTAATGTTCGATGAGGAAATTACGACTGCTTATATGTGACCAAAAATCAAATTTTGATGTATGGGAATGATCTCTTTCCCAGTTTGTGACGTGTCGAATGTTTTATCCGATCCCTGAATCGAGAGATGTTTGCGGAAATCACGGAGGAAGACGTTCCATCCTCAGATTATTATCTAATATGCTGTCAAAATGCGACTAATCAAGGGTTGTTCTTAATTAGATCAGAATTTTCTTTAGATGTAATGCACATTCTCTGTACCAAAAGAATATTAATTAACGGTACGCACGTGAAGCGTGCATGATTTAGTGAATCAATCCTGATTATTATTATATTCTAATTCCATTTTTTTTTAAATTCATTTACTAATTGTTTAGTATTATACCTTCTAACATTATATTTTAAATTATTAGCATTTGTTATAATATATTTAACGGAAACTCCAAATATAATCAACGAATAAATTTGTCGTTAATAACCATTAATATTATGCTTGATGCTGTACTAGAATCTTGTTATTTTTTTACGCGGCCTCAAAACAAAAAAAGATGTGCAGTTTTGCGATAAGATAGGAAGCAGGGTTAATTAATCTACAAAAGTAAACATAGCAATACTCTTGAAGGGTATACAAACACGGATTGGTATTGGACACAATGATTTGTGAAATAATAAAATGCGTATTATTATTAAATAGTATTACATGAACTATTCCTCCTACTTAAAATCCAGTGTGCATTAGGGAGAAATTACGACCCGCAATTTTTGCTAACTTCTGTATCAGCGCTTCATGTGTTGCTGGAGGCAAAATTTCCACAACCAGAAAACTTTTAAATTAGCGGCTTTTCTCTTAACGAGTAATTCTCCAGAGAATCAACGATTCAGACTATAGCACAATATCATTTTCAATTCTAAGATAACTGACTTTCAAACCAACAAGGCAAGTCTTTAGATTCTAGTCTTACAATTATTATATAATGAGGATAGAGAATTGCTTGGCAAAAATTGCGTAGATCTCCGTGGATTCTGAGACGTCTTCAATTCTTATGTATATTCGATGCAAATTACTGAACGCGAATCGGGATTGGTTGCGATCTGATTTACCAAATTCGGCAGATCTGGTGTGTGTTCATAAAGTCATGTGACAAAAATACTGTATTAGTATTAGTGTCCCAAAGCCTTCCGCGGCCGTCGAGTCAGATATCATGTTTACAGGGGAGAGAGTAATTGGTCTGACACAAGAACAGCAACAGCAGGTATGCAGCATGAGTCTCATAGTCGCAGAATCACAACTAAATTGATTATAATACCGTATTGATACGATATTACAGTTTGACGAAGATGGGTATGTATGTTAATAGGAATTTCATAAGTATTTGAGACGTTCCGAGAAGCAACAATGTTCATTCTTTAAAACTTACAATTTGAAGGTATCTTGTGTTACCAAACTTCTTTACCATCGGTGAAGCCAATGAACTAAAAGAGGTCGTTGATAGACTGCTGACTGAATTCGACGTTGACGGACATCCCATGACTAGGTTTTCTACTGGCGCAGGAAGGGTAACTGTTTTGCTTTTTGACAATATCCATGAACAAAACGTATATTTATACGGTTCTGCCGTTTTTTAGGATAGAAATCATGTTGGTGATGCTTATTTCTTAGAGTCTGGAGATAAAATCCGCTATTTCTTTGAGGAAGAAGCGTTCGATGAAGATGGAAATTTAATCGTAGAACCATCAAAAGCGATCAACAAGATTGGACATGGTACAATGAATGAATGAATGAAACTTGTGAATTCAATAATTATTAAAAGATTCAACGTTCACATCCTGTTTTCTGGTTAGCTCTTCATACCCGAAATGAATTCCGGAGATTTTCGATTAACGAGTCTACCCAACAAATTGCCAGGGATCTCGGGTTTGATGAACCGAAACTACTTCAGAGTATGGTCATCTGCAAGGTTTGTCACGATAACTATGTTAATTGGTGCATATGGAATTTTCATATCTAAATACATTTTGTTATAACATCAGCAACCACACATTGGCGGCGCAGGTACTCATTTACAAGCATTATTGAAGCACTATCTGTACTGAATATGATGGTATATATTAATCTCATAACTCGGGGATCTTATGATCAGTTCCGCCACATCAAGATTCCACTTATCTTTACACAAGACCATTGTCGGCGGTAGGATTCTGGTTTGCGCTAGAGGACTGCACAGAGGAGAATGGTTGTCTGTGGTTCATACGTGGCTCACACCATAGTAGGTCTTCCTATCATACAAATTAAGTTTGAGATGGGTGAAATATTCGTTAACGAGTAACCAAATATGTTATAGCCCATCCGGTGTTACATCGATTTGTTCGACTAGCGGGTGGTGTGGGTACTAGATTTATGAGTATTGGACATGGAGAAGTCCCTGTTAACGATGAAGACTTTGTGAAGGTGGAAGTCGAAGCAGGATCCTTGGTCTTGATACACGGGTCGGTCGTGCACAAGTCTGAAGCTAATAGAAGTGATCGATCGAGATACATTTACACGTTTCATATTATTGAAGGGAAGGCAGAATACGATACTTGGAATTGGTAAGTTAGAAAACGTGTTCTCATTTCTCATTTTAGTTTCGCATTTAGTAAGCACTGAGACATGCTTTGACGAATTGAACCCTGTGGTATATTTAGGTTACAACCAACGGAACAAATGCCGTTTACACCGTTTCTGTAACTTTGTATAAAATATAATGGGTTGGATTCTCGGTTGTTTAATGATGGTAAAAATCGGTTCAATTTAAAGAGTGATGCGAGTATAGTATTGATGCTATTTGTAGTAGGTAAAACCGATCCAATACCATATGATATTCGATATTTTACATACATCTGCAGTTATTGATCACACAATTTCTTTTTCTTAGAAATCAAATGAAGACTCAAATTGAATATATGTCTGGGAAAAGCGATGAATATTTATAACTCTATTCTTACGATGGTTACAATTGAATAAATCAGTAAAACTATTCATGCCAGAAAAGAAGGCTACTATTGACTTCTTCAACAAACGCCACTTTTGCTCAATTACAAAAGACTATGAAGTCTTATATTAGTTTCAGATAGATGTTAACATATTAGCATTACTTGATAAGATGTCATATTGTATAAGAACAGCGTCAGCATTGTACCCTATTGTCCACATTATATTAATATGCAAGTATTGATCTTATGTATTGGCTTTTATTCCGACTTAGCATGCTCTATGTTCGAAAGTGCTCTAAATATTGTCCGACATCTCAAACTTGAACAGCTAAGCAAACATACTTGGTACTGATCTTGTTAGCTATCAATTTCCCGCTCAGTAAGGCTACTTCGCTTACACGCTACATCAACGACTGACCGTCAACGAATTCCATACAAATCCAATATAGAATATCAACAACGCGTGCCTACGTCTTGATTCTTCATATTGGCGTAATAGTAAAGAGAAAACAAGTTCTTTAAAAATGTAAAACGAATATGCTCTTGATTTGCGAATTTGCATTATGACGATGTTCCCAAATATTGTTGCCTGTCTGGGTTCGGGATCTGTCTCAGTTCAGAGCGCGGTCACTCAGTCCAGAACCCAGTTGTAAGGCCCCCAGCTGAGGTACAACATAGTCTTCTACTAATTAGAATGTCTGTTGTCTAAGTTCAGGCTGTCTCAATTCAGAATCCAGTTAATTTGTCAAAAATTCAGTTCTCTCAGTTCAGAACAGTCCAGTTGTCTCCGTCCCAGACTTGAGACTGAGGTAATCCCTCCTAGTCTTTTTGATTATTGAGCCTGATGTGCCCAAATGAGATTGTTCTGATGCATAATCCGAAGACAAAATCTATGTTATGGATAATAAGGCATTCGATAATATTATGTCTTTGTTGGACGCTCATAAATGTGTTGAGACTCATTCGACCCTTTTCAAGATTGTCACATATATTTTCGTCGTTATCACATAGTTTATTGATTATTCTAATGTGACAATCCCGAAACGGGTCACTGTACGACGCGTTGGGAAAATCCAGCGTAACACAATAGAAAGCCAGGTACTCGTGAATAAGCACCCACCCTTATCTGACGGTAATCGCAATACCGACTTTTTATAAAAAAGTTTATAATTACCTGTTATTATGTAATAAACTGTTTGTGGGGAAAGAGTCATATTGCTAATAGTGGTAACCAAGGGGTGCTTATTCACGAGAGGATACGGTATCTTCATTTTTTGAATACTAATACTGCTGTATGTTGTACATTCGCTAGTGTCCAAATTTTCTTCTTTCATTTTTAACAATTTTGGACTTTACATCAATCAGATCAAACATGTGATGTAACTTGTAGTAAAACTACCAAGGGGAGTGACGTGATAAAAAAAGTCGTACCACGTCAGGATAAGTAAATGGTGTAAATGTTGTCAAAATAGTAGTAAATGATGGTACAATTATATATTATAGAGATCAAATTTGCTCATTCCATGTATACCACCGCCTTGCAGACAAAGGAAAAGAAAACACCCTCAGCTATCATTAGCTTTGTTTAAATAATCAAATGGTATAGATAATTTCTTCTCACTTATCAAAATAAGCATTTTCTTAAATCGGACTTTATTATGTAATAGCAAATGGTGTAAGATATAACTCTAAGCTGAAGACGTAAAGCTTTGTAGCAAGAAAGTATTCTATATAAGTTTTACTATTCTTATTAAAAAAAAAGCCAAAGATAAAACAAAGTTTGTTTAGATTATATAACGTATAAGATAAAGATAATTTGTTTAAAACCAGAGCTTAGAATATGTAATTTACATTATTGTCACAAAATATTTGTCTATGGTTTCAGTTACTGTATATTGTAAGTAAATGCCAATTATCATTTGGTACGGTACGTCTATCATTTCCTCAAATGAGAAAATTTTTTATTGCGCGCTTTCTACTCCCACGAC